TATTTATGTCCCCATGCCTATTTTGTAACTACCAATTTGTAATTCTTAATCCCTTCACCGTTTTCCCCCCCGCCCCCCCCCCCACACCTCTCCCATCAGGCAACCATCAAAATGTTCTCTACTTATGAGCCTGTTTCTGTTTTGTTTATTTTGTTCTTTAGATTCCACATGTAAATGAAATTATATGGAATTTGTCTTTCTCTGTCTGACTTAATCCACTTAGCACAATATCCTCTAGGACCTTCCATGTTATTGCAGATGGCAAGAAATCATTCTTTTTTATGGTTGAATAATATCCCATTGTATATACATACCACCTCTTCATCCATTCATCTATTGATGGACATCTAGGTTGGCTCCATATCTTGGCTATTGTAAATAATGCTGCAATGAACATATGGATTCACATATCCCTTTGAAGTAGTGTTTTAGGTTTGTATGGATAAATACCCAGAAGTGGGATTACTGGGTCCTTCTTTGTTTCCTATTATAGCTTGTGTTTTAAAGTCTGTTTTGTCTGGTATGAGTATTGCTACCCTAGCTTCCCGCCCCCCGCCCCCCTGCCCCCACCATTTTCATGAAATTTATTTTTCTATCTCTTTACTTTCCGTAGGTACGTCTTTCAATCTGAAGTGAGTCTCTTGTAGGCAGTATATGTAAGGTCTTATTTTCTTATCCATTCAGCCACCCTATGTCTTTTGACTGAAGCATTTAATCCATTTACATTTAAAGTAACTGTTGATAGATACGTAGTTATTGCCATTTTATTATTCATATTTTTGTCTTTTTTTTTCTTCTTTCTCTTATAGAAGTCCCTTTAATAGTTCTTATAATACTGGTTTGGTGGTGATGAACTCCTTTAGCTTTTTCTTGTCTGGGAAGCTCTTTATCTGTCCTATTCTGAATAATAGTTTTGCCAGGTAGAATAATCTTGGTTGTAGGTTCTTTTTCATAATTTTGAATATATCATGCCAGCCCTTCTAGCCTGCAAAGTTTCTGTTGAGAAAGCAGCTGACAGTCTTATGGGAGCCCCCTTGTAGGTAACTAATTGCTTTTCTCTTGCTGCTTTTAAGATTCTGTCTTTGTCTTTTAACCTTTGGCGTTTTAATTATGATGTGTCTTGGTGTGGGCCTGTTTGGGTTCATCTTGTTTGGGAGTCTCTGCACTTCCTGTGCTTCTATGTTTACTTTGTCAGATTTGCAAAGTTTTCTGTCATTATTTTGTCAAATAGATTTTCAATTCCTTGCTCTCTCTTCTTCTTCTGGTACTCCTATGATGCGAATATTGGTATGTTTGATTGTCCCAGAGGCCCCTTAAACTATCTTCACTTTTTTGGATATTTTTTTTCCTTTTTACTGTTCCGATTGCAGGTTTTCTGCTACCTTATCTTCTACATCGCTGACTTGATCCTCTGCTTCATGTAATCTATTGTTGATTTCCTCTAATGTATTCTTTATTTTTATTGTATTCTTCATTTCTGACTGGTTCTTTTTTATGTTTTCCATCTCCATTTTTATGTTTTCTATTTCTTTGTTAAAGTTCTCAGTTCATGTACTCTTCCCTAAGTTCATTGAGCATCTTTATAACCAGTGTTTTGAACTTTGCATCTGGTAGATTGATTTTCTCCATTTTGTTTAGTTCTTTTTCTTGAGCTTTGTTCTGTTCTTTAATTTGAGACCTGTTTGTTTGTCTCCCCATTTTGGCTGCCTCCTTGTGTTTGTTTCTATGTATCAAGTAGGGCTCCTATGTTTCTCAGTCTTCGTAAAGTGGCCTTTTCTAGTAGGTATCCTGTGGGACCCAGTGGTGCAGTCTTTCCTGGTCACCTGAGTTGGTTGCTCCGGTGTGTTCCTCTTATGGATTGTGTGTGCCCTCCTGTTGTAGTTGAGCCTTGGTAGCTGTTTGCACGTCAATGCAAGGGACTGACCCTTGGATTAATTTGTTGTGAGGACTGGCCAGTGAAGGGCTGACCCTGTGAAGCAGGATTCTCTTTAGCAGGGCTCTGGTGCCTGCCCATTCTGCCATTTAGATGTGTCATCCTTTGATGCAGTCCTGGGTGGTGTTCTGGCTCAGTCCGAAGCTGGCCACCAGGTGTGCTGACCCCGGGGTCCCCTAAGAGGGCCCCTGCCACAAGCTAAATTCAGCCTTAGCCTATGCCCTGCCTGAGGCCACCTTGCATGAGTCACCAAGCAATCTGCAGATGGCCACCACCCACGCTGGGCCTGAAAGTGTTTCGAGAGGCCAAGTCATGAACTAAGGCCAGGCTAATGCTGGGCTTAGGGCTGCTCAGCAAGAAGTATGGGGCACACTGAAAGCAGTTGCTGCTCGTTTGGGTTTTGCAAAACTTGAAGAAATTTTAGGAAAGTCCACAGCATGAGCCATGAGCCAAGACAAGCCATTTGTTTGGAAAAGCCACTGGAAGCAGCTTGGGTGGACCCATAAGTTGGGTGGGGCGGGGGTCTCAGGGTGGGGGTGACTAGTGTTTGCTAGTTTGATGGAGACTCAGATATGGCAGCGCCTGGGTCTGCACACTGGGACAGGGCAAGGCTCAACAAAGAAACAATGGCTTTGTAAAACTGGAAATTCTCCAGTTTCAGGGAGGTGATATCTCCAGGCACCAGCCCCAGGAGAAGCTCATCATTCCAAGGTGCAGATGATAAAACTGTCTACTAGGCCTTGTTTGATCTGAGAGTTCCCCGGATACATTTATCTTTGTACAAAATGTTAACGGCTAACTTCTGCTTCTTGTAATCTGCTTATTCAAGGATGTAGCAGGAGGCTTATAAGCTGCCTCCTCTAGAAGCTCGGGGCTGATCTCCTCTAACCCTGCGTGGTAGAGAGTCAGTCGCTTGCCGGCTAATAAAGGCTCATAATTAATCTCAATTGGCTCCATGGGTCTCAGAATCATTCGCGCCATAACACTTCCCTCCCCGGGCAACTACTGATCCACTGTCACTTATGGATTAGCTAGAATTTTCTAAAGTTTTACATAAATGGAATCATATAATATATATCCATTTTTGGAGATTTTTTTTTATCCTGAAGAAAAAAAAGGAAAAATTCTCTCTTTTCTAAGTCTTAACTTGCTCCATTAGAAACTTTGATGAGGAAAATATTTGTTGAGGAAAATATTTGTTGGTCATGCAAGCTGGACGATTGTGGTTAATAACCTGCTTAAATGGCTCCTGGTAATCTTTGCTCCTGTAGGAGCTCCGTGTCCGTTTACTGAGAGACCAAAGCTGTGCTTTCTAAACTAACTGAATCAAATCTTTGTAATCTCCACAGTGACGACTTTCTATTACTGAAAATAAATTTAAAAATAAAAGTTCTATGGTAAGTCTGAGTCAGCCTAAGACAGCATAAAACTCTTATTTTAAAGCTTCCCCTAGGCCAGAGTATTTTTTTTTTTTGACCTCCGGGGAAAAGTAAGATATTTCCAGAACTTAGCCCTCAACAGAGAGACCTGTACTCCAAAGACTTAATTGAAAAGCGAGTCACTCCAGAAAGGGCATGGCAGGGACTAACCATATTCTGTTTCTTGTTCTGGGTGCTGGTCAGAGTAAGTTTTCCGTTTGTGAAAATTCAGCATGTCGTTCACTTATTCACTTAATGTACTCCTTTTTTTTTTTTTTTTTGCACGTTACACTTAAGTGGAAATTTAATTTAAAAAAGAAACCTCTTCAAGAGACTTTACTGTCAAAGGAATAGCACGAGGGAATTCCATGGTGGTGACGCAACAATTCTGTGTCTTGATTGTGATGATGGCTACACAAATCAACATACTGATGTGGTAAGACAGACACACACACACACACACGTACATAAAAACTAATGAAACGAGCATAAAGCCCGTATTTACAGTATTATACTAATGTCAGTTTTCTGGTTTTGATGCTGATAGTTATCTAAGATGTTAACACTGGGGAGAGCTAGGTGAATGGTCACAGGAATCTATTACTTTTGCAGCCTTTTGTGAGTTTATATACTTTTATTTATCAAAATCCCCCCAAACTTGGAGAAAAGTACAGAATGGATAATAGAGTGTGGAGAAGAGAGAGATTAGCAATTTTGAGAAAGCTGGAGTATACACCTCTCTCAGGTAGCATGCCTGCAAGCCAGGTAAACTTTAATTCAGCAAACATCTGATGAGCGGGAACCATGGGTCAGGCCCTCTCGTAGGTGCTAGGGTACAAAATTTCACATGCAGGCTCCTGGCTCAAGGCACTCACTGACTAGCAGCTCTCTGGGTATGGAACACCACTTACACATGTGTTAGAGAAAAAATAATTTCTCTTTACCCTTCAGAGTGCTTGGCTGGACCTCCTGTAGTAAAAGACAAATTAACAAGAGAAAAACAGATTTATCCACATGTATACCTCTTGCATACATGGGAGATACCCAGGGAAAAATTAGTAACTCAAAGAGGTGGCTTCAAATGCCAAAGGTTAAAGACAAAGAGAATCACTATGTTATACACCTGAAACTAATATAATGTTGTATGTTAACTATAAATAAAAAGCATTATTTAAAAAAAAGGTGGCTTACAACTCTGAGTTACATAGCTTCTTCAAAAAGAAACAATACATTTGTGAAGAAATGACAGAGGAAAGCAGTTGTAGGCTTTTAAAGGCAGAGATAAAGGCTAATTAGTAAAATTTGTTACATAGATTCCTCTGGTGTCCTCTCCAGTCTGACAGGATCTAGAGTTGTCTCTGGGGATTAACCTTTGTCCTTCCTGGTGGAGGGCAGGAGAGGCACCTTTGTGCGCTCACATCCTGCTTTCAGGCAAATGGGAGGGCAGAGAGCTTTTCTTGTATATGGTTCTTCTCAGATGCCCTCAGCTCTCAGTAATCCTTATGCCAAAGTAGCACATTTGGGGCATGGGGGGCATATTCTGCTATCCTTCACACACATATGAACTGGTCTAATAATATCCAATACAAACTCAAATGATGAACTGGCAAGAAAAAACTCAACCAGAATCTTAACACAGAAATAGGAAATTCTGTTAATTCAACATTTATTAATTACACACACCACTCTGCCGACATTAATACACGTACACAATTATCAAAACCTAGAAAAATGAGTTATGCGCATGTTTAAAAAACAATGTTTCCACACTTCCCACTACACGTATTCCCAAGTTTTATACCACAAAACATAGCATGCAAAAAACAGAGCAGACATATTATTCAAGTAAAGTGCTATTTAAAATAGTTGCAGAAGAACATTGAAAACCCTGGGCTCCATCCTTCAGAGAAGATAGTCATATGCCACCATTTAAAGTTAGTAAGTTGACAGTAAAATAGATTTATTGGCATTGTGCTTCTGATCTTTATTTCCACTGAGTCTTTCTATAAGAATAAAGGCAATCATGGAAAGAAGAAACCACTTGACATAAAATTGTGTTAAAAGCCACTCAGAGGGAGAGAGATAATAGATGCAGATGAGCTCTTTAAGTGAGCGTCCGTACACAGCTGGGAAAGCACACTGAGAAGTGCTTTCTCAAGGCCAACAGATCCCCATTTGCGGGGTAATTTCATCTGACTCATTTGATACTTGCCGGGAAGTTCTTGGTGAGAATTCACTGGAGTCATGTCCAGAAAGTACTTTTTACACAGTAAATGTTCAACAAAATGAAATCATGCCTGATAAATGTGGAGAAGTTCAGTATTTCTCTCTTGGTCTAGATTAGGGATTGGGAAACTTTTTCTGTAAAGAGGCAGAGGGTAAATATTTTGGGCTTTGCAGGTCATACTGTCTTTGTGGCAGGTGCACAGTCAGCCAAGAAAGTAGCCATAGACCATCTGGTAAGTGAAAGGGTGTGACTGTGTTCCAATGACATTTTATTTATGGACACTGAAATTTGAATTTCATATAATTTTCCTGTGCCATGAAATACTGTTTTGCTTTTTCCCATTTGCAACATAAAAACCATTCTTCACTCTGGGTTGTACAAAAACAGGTAGCAGGCCAGATTTGCCAACCCCGGGGCTACATATTTTTAAAAGTTCCATCTATCACCTTATTGAAAAATAACCAAAAAAAAAAAAATGTTCATTTAAAAATACTTCTCTTTCTTCCTACAATCCAGAACAATTTTACTAAGTAGCTACTTCCTTTTCCAATTATTTTATTTACAAAATTAATCAACGATACCGTAGTGAGTCTCTGGCCTTGATTTATATACTTGATGAGCCAAACATATAAGAAAACTCAAAATCTGCCACCTAGCCAAGAAATCCACTGGCTGACAAAGTTACCAATTGATTTGAATATATTCCATCAACACATCTAAGCATCAGTATTCCAGACTTCTAAAAAATAACATTAGGGCATTTTTATTGATAGAAAACAGATGGACACACCCAAATATTACATAATTAGAATGTTATAAAACATCTTAAAAAGTAGGAATTAACCACTAATATGCTGTGTGTGTTTCTTAACAAGCAGGGCCTGGGCAATGTATGTCATGAGGCGGTGGGTTTCAGTGCTTTCCTTTTTTGGGCCCCAGGGACATGGCTGGTATGATCCAGGCTAAACATAGGGAGCTCCAGGCCTGGCCGCGGTTCCTCCGTGCACTGGCCCGTACCCCTGGCTCAGTGAGGAACGCTAAGTGCTGGGTGGGTTCAGGAGCAGTTGCCTCCAGCACCGATTTCATTAATGCTTTCCTTCTACTACCTAGAATACCCACGGCCTGTCAGTGGTTTCTGCACAGAGAGTGGTAAAGGAAGGAGCTTCGCTTGTCTATTTAGCCAGGAACAGCCTTGATTCCTTTTCCTCAGTATATCAGGGCAGATGGCAGACATATCCAGATAGGCCTAGAATTTTCTTAATCAGAGTTTTTTTTCAGAGTGACAGGAAACACTGGTCATAGGGTTTTTGTTTTATTTTCAAATGATGAACTGTGGAAACTGTTATTGGATAAAAGGTCCTTGAAATTCAAGGCCTCACGCCTCTCCCATAAGGTAGATTGGCAGTTATGGAAATCTCCTTCCTTTTGAGATGACTGCGATGAAAGTGCTTTGGCTCTTTTGGAGGTGAAGGAGCAGCACCTCCTGAGGACAGAGCGAGCAGGCCACAGGTGACAACCTCTACTCAGGCTCTGCTGGGCAGATGGTTGGCACCGCCCCCTCCTCCATCTTGGCAAAGCCCTGCTGGATGCCCAATGGGGACTATGCTGCTCATAATAATAATAATAGTATTCATAGCCTCTGTACTACCACCAGATTTTCATTTTCTGCAAACACTTTTGCTTTCTCTTAGACTCACAATATCCCACGGAGCTAAGTAAGGCATATACAGAACCTCCATTCTACATGGGGGACGGGGGTGGGGACTGGTATTTCCATGAGACAGAGCTACTGCTCGGTGAAGAAGCCAGGCCAAGCTACCTCGCGTGCGCCTTTTGCTCTACCAAACTGCTCTGCTGTGAGCTTTACACTTAGGCTTGTTTCCCAAAGGAAAGCAAAATGAAAAACAGAAAAGGAGATATGATTTTTAAGCAGTAAATTCAGGACGACGAAGACTTCGTTTTTAAAACTGGTCCAGAGTAAGGGAGAGGTGCTCCTTCATTCCTCACAGAGCACAGGCGATTCTATGCTATTTCAGAAGTCTCAAAAAATGATCGATTCAGCCCCTCTAGTGACCTCCGAATACACAGCAAGTGTCTTCAGTGCTGGGCCCTCTGACCAGCCTGTCGGTCATACTCAGGGGCTCCTCAGTGCATGTCTCCTCTCCTCTGGGTCTCAGCTCTGGAGCCGCATGAGAGATGATGAGGTCCGTGCCCAGACAGTCATCGGCCTTTGTCACAGGGCTGCAGGGGCCAGCCTGCTCCCTGCTGCACTTTGCTCTGAGTCAGTCGGTGGTGTTGTGCTGCTGGTTCTTGGGGAGTCTGCAGCCACACACGCATGGAATCTACTGGTCCCTAGTTAGGTAAGAGGAGGGGCAGGAGTCACATCTGCTTAAGATTAGGAGGACTTGGGCGAGCTTTAAAAAATTAATAATTCACATACCCTACAGGTTTATTTAAAATAATGGATGGCATATCCTTATATATGCAGAAAACCTCCTTTTTATTTTTTAAAGAACTAAGAATCCTATAAGCCTCCAAAACACACATACTTGAGCTCCAGATACTCATCAATGCCATACTTGGAGCCCTCTCGCCCAAGGCCAGACTGCTTCATCCCGCCGAAGGGGCACTCCACGGAGGAGATGAGCCCTTCGTTTACGCCCACCATGCCGACTTCCAGCTGTTCCGCCACCCGCCAGATCTGGGCCGGGTCTTGAGAGTAAAAATAACCTGTCACAGGGATAAAGGACACAGATAGCATGGAGAATAGTCATTAAAGACATCATTTCTAAAGTTAAGGACACCACTGACGACTGTCTGCCTCATCACTTGGGCCTGGAATCCACCCAGCCCCCATATGGAGCCCTGAGTTGGTCTTTCCATTCCTTCACCTCGAATCCTCTGAACATTGTCACTCTGCTTCTGTTGCACTCCTCCTAGTGCTCCCACCACCTCCCATCCGGACTGTAAGCACAGCCTCCCAGTGCCTGCAGTCTGCTATGTACTCCGACCGCACGCCTCTGGTAGATTGTCCGAGTGACATTTCTGCCCAAACCTTCCAGAGCCTCCCTGTCACCTGTAAAGTGCGGTTAAGCCCCTCGTGGGTATTCAGACCATCCCCGAGGTGGTTTCAGTCAACACTTGCAACATCACCTTCCATGACTCCAGTCACCAGCCATCTTCTCCAAAGTTGTCAATCAAATTCTTCTTGTCCTTTCTTTCTTCACTTCTTAACTCCCTTGATCCCCTCTGCCCAGAATCTCTCTCCACCAATCAGAATCCTGCCCATATTTATGACCTAGCTCAGGGCATGGCTTCCTCCACCACCATCGCATCACAAAGGGCAGAAAGGAACAGTGAACTCAGTGTCATGGAGGCACCCGTGCACACACCTTACCCCAGCTTCCTGATAACTCGGAGTAAGCAGCGTGGGGTAAGGGACTCCACAGCATGAGCATCCTCCCTCTTATTATAAATAGTTCTCTTATGCCTAGAGGTGAAGCTCCTATAGAGCTACAGCTGTATCTTTAAGTCTCTGTGTCTCCTCAGTGCTTCACTCACTGTAGATGCTAAATACAGATTTGTTGATTGCAGGCCACTGATCTTTTCGTTTAGAAATGGCCAAAGACATGCTCTATCCCGTCTGTGCTTCCTCTTCTGTTCAGCTCCAGAAGCAAGGAAAAATGGAAGAAGCACTTGGAATTTCCAGGCACCAAGCCCCTGAGGACAGGGGACTCATGGGTGTGTGTGGTGCCCCACCTAGAACAATCTGCACTGCCTCTTCTCCCACTGACCCTGCTCCCACTGCCCCTTGGCCCCTTGGAGAGCAGCTAACATGTGCTCCAGTGAAGTGTCCTTCCGAAAACCCAGGATTGCGTCTAAAAGGCAAACTCCAGCATCAGCCTGAGAAATGACAGGAGCTCCACGGAGCAGGGTGGACGCCTACCTGCTAACCCAACATCGGCTGCATTAGCCATCGCCACAGCCTCCTCCTCTGTGTCGAACCTGCCAAAGTTAAGATGGGTCATCAGCAGAATCTGTAAAGGGGTGTAAAGAAAACCAGCTGTCTTTTCTCCCGATTTGTTTTCCCAATAATGGCAAGAGGTAAACTGGAGTTTTGCAAAAAGATCCCAAAGCAAAGTACAGAGGCAAATAGTACCACTTGCTGTGATGACTCGGCGTTCAAGGCCAGCATGCTCAAATCAACTCAGCTCATCTCTTCTAAAAGAGCAAGAGACAAGCAGACTGACGTGCAGGTCCACTATGTCAAACAAAACGTCTTAAAAAATGGATCGGTGTTCTTGTTACCTACTAAGAATACATATCAGTTGTAACAACTACTTCAGAAGCGACCATATGTAGTAGTAAGAAAACCATCCAGAGGAAGCTGGGCCTGGAGTTCTGATGTCAGCTCTGCCACCTATGCTGCTTCACAGTGTGCTGGCGCTGGTCTGCTCCTCTCTGAAATGCAAGTGTGGTGGGACCAAAGCCCCACACAGCCTCTTCCAGCTTTATTATTTTATTTCTGGAACAAGATTTCCGTGGCATTTTCCTGTTGTCTCAGAATTGTAACTGGGGCAAAAGTTCTAAACACCCCAGAGATCCACTGGCAGTGGGGGCCAGCTATGTCCCTGAGGCACTGGGCAGAGCTGGCTGGGCATCCCTGGGCTGCAGTCGATACAAGGGAAAACTGGGAGAGACACGGGCACCTCTAGGGGAGGAGAGGTCAAGGAGGGTGACCCTGAGAGAATCACATGTTCGGAGGATGACCAGCTGTGTCTCCCAGAGCCATTCTCTCCTTTGGGGAACAAGAAAACGGCGTCGCCAGTGTCCTCACTCTGCACCTTAATGCTATCAGGCTATGTGCTAAGTGCTTTTGCACATCATGTCCTTTGGACCTTACAGCTACCCTGGAAGGCAGCGACTAGTTTTATTCCTTTCTCACATGAGGATCCCGAGGCTCGGAGAAGTTAACTCCTCCAGGGGACGCAGGTATGAAGTAGCAAAGCCTGATCTACACCCAATTCAGCTCTGAAGCCTGCATTCCTAACCACTGCATTCTCTTGGTTTCCCAAGAAACATCGAGTTCACACTCTAGGTAAACATTTTTACTCAAACAAAGAAGATGAAAGTTCTTTAAGTGGTCCATCTCCCCAGTGGCAGAATAATATATAATCTTCATTAGCAAGGTGGTAACAAAGCTGGCAAAGTATGTGATAAGAAAGAGATCTGTCCTAGACAAGATGGCACAGGCAGCCCAGCCGCCAGCTCTCTCTGGGAAACTGATGCCAGAGGAGAAGGAGAACCATGGCTCAAAAACCTCATCAGCAACTAATACCAAAAATACTTAACACTTTTAGAGGTCAAAAAGTATTGGATCCTTAGCGGAAGTGACAGCTCAAGTGGGAGAGCTAGGGGCCACCCATGGGAAGGGCCAGAGCTCCACGGAGCCTGCAGAGGTGGGGCTGTACCTCCCCATCACACCTGTGAATTTCAGGTGGTGTTTTCTACAGACCTGGCTACCCAGATTAATGCCGTGTTGCCACAGGGCAGAAAAGCAGCAGGGCCAGCTCAGGGCAGCAGGCTTGGTTAGCCACCCAGAACAAGTGCAGGCCTCTTCTCTCTAAGCCTTTGCGACAGAGGTAAATGCAAAATACCCCAACGGGCAAAGGATACCTGGGGCAGAGGGAGTTATGTAGAGACAGGATTTTAATACTAGAGGCTCCCTCTGTGAGGCTCAACCCTCTGTCCTCCAAATGCATCAGAAGGAGCACAAACTACCGTCTAAGATTTTCACCACAATCCCTAGGAGGATGTCACTAGCTAAGGCTGCTAACCATTCAAGGGGTTAGAGATGAGCTACAAGGAAATGACAAGACAGCTGAGGACTCTAGGACTAAGAACGAACAACCTGTACCAGAGGAGGCAGAAATAGTGGAACAGAACAAAAGTATTGGGAAGAAGTAACTATCCACAACGAAATAAAGGAGAATAATAAAGCGGAAAGGATCAGTTATGGGGAAGAACCATGGGAGAGATCAAGGATGAAAAAAATAACTGGCAGTAAAGAACGTGGCAGATGGGCTAGAAAGCAGAATAGGTGTGCGTGACAAGTGAATTATTACGCTGGCAAGTGGAGGAAAGAGAGTCTCAGGAGGCAACAGGAATGGATGAAGAGATGGAATGAACAGTGGAGGATGGAAGTAGACATATCTTTGTAACAGTCTTCTTACAAGGCTGGAAAAGGATACACGGGGCGAGAGAAGTTTCTGGAGAAATAAGAACCAAGAATTTCCCAGGACTGAACAAATACTTTAGATACTACAGGAAGACAGGAGGACCTTGGAATGGAGAAGTTCACAGGGCGCACACCAGTAAAAGTTAAGAACGTCAAAGACCGTAAGAAATTCTGAAAGTCTCCAAAGAGAATGGAAACCAGACATCAGCTTTCTCAGTAAGAGCCCTGGGTGTAAGCAGACAAAGGAGTGGTATTTTCAAAGTGCCGAAGCTCAAATTTTATCCGGGTAAATTATTATTTACTTGTGAATGTGAGATAAAAGATCATAATAAGAACTCAGAAAGTTCATTTCCCACACAATCCCTTGAAAGAGTTCTTGGAGGATGTGCTCCATGAAGAAAAATGAGTTCAGCAAGAAGAAAGCAAAGTATTTGCTAAATTTTGTGGTCTAGGCAATAATAAAAACAAAGTTTTTAAAAAATCATAAATGGAACTTGTCTCTTCCGTGGACACGGCACAGCTTTCTGGGTCTCTAACCCGCCCTCTCCCACAATCAGGCCTCGAAATAGCACATGAACTGGATTTTCTCTAGTTTCCCTTTTCCTTTCCTATTTTCTACTGTTTCCTACCAGCTGGGTGATCTTACTTGATGACTGGTGCCAGAGGCCCAAAAGTCTCCTCATGAGAGCAGAGCATGTTCTGGGTGACATTGCTGAGCAGGGTAGGCTCAAAGAAATTTTTTCCAAGTTGATGCCGCTTCCCGCCTGTCACAACAGTGGCCCCTTTGGAAAGTGCGTCACTCACGTGTTTCTCAACCTGTGTGACAAGGAGAAGAGCCCTTGGGAAAGCTGGTTGAGGATACCCTGGAAATGACACAATGTCTCAGAATGTTTAAACTACAGGAAACCATGATTGGTTTTCTTTCATCCTCAGATAAGTTGAAAACAATGTACCCTCGTTCCTTTGGGCAGAAGGAACCAATCTGCAGACACACAGAGGCAGTAAGAGAGCACCTCCTTCCTGCCCTGCGCTTCAGGCTAGATGATCTCACCTTGCTGAAGTCTGATATCACTGCTGTCTTTCCAGGCCCGATGCTCAGCTGTCTTCCTGGGTGAGTTCTGGAATTTGGGATCTCACGTTGTCCTCTTTACTGGACGTTGCTTTCCATTTTGTTCTCATATGTTCTCGAGTAGTTGTTTTGAAAAGGTGCACTGAAAGTGGTTTACTTTCTGAGCTTCCTGACACTGCATGTCTGATGTTTTACTTTGAACCCCATCTGATCAATAATTTGGTTGGTGATGGAATTTTGATCCAGTAATTTTCCTTCAGAAAACTGTGTGCCCTTCCCCACTTCTAGTGTTGTTGATGGAAAGTCTGATTCAATAGTGCTTCTCACTCCTTTGTGAATGGCTTTTCCCCACCTGGAAGCTTCTAGGATCTTCTTTTATGTTCCTGACATTCTAAAATTTTAGCAAAATCTGGATTTTCCTTTTCGTGTATTCTACTTGACAATTGGTGGAATCTTTCAATCTGAAGAATTATTCCCCCCCAGCTCGAAGAAGCTTTTTTTTCTTTTTAAAATTAAAAAAAAAAAATTATTTATTTTTATTATGGTGACATTGGTTAACGAAATCCAGTAAGTTTTTCTATTATATATTTGATACTGCCATTTTACTCCATCTTCTCAATTCTTTCTTTCTAGAACTCCTATTACTAAAATGGATATCCCCTTTACTTCGGATTAATTCTGATTTCTTTTTTGCATTTCTGTCATATTTTTCATCTCTTTGTCTTTTGCTTTAAATTCTAAGAGATCTCCTTTATTTTGTCTTCTATCTTTATGTAATAATTAAAAATTTTTTCACCATAATGTGTTTAATTTCTACGTACTCTTGTTCTCATTGCTTCATTTTCATAGAACCTGCTTCTGTTTTACAGGTGGACTATCTTCTCAAAACTCTAGGAGGACACTTAGAATCTTAGAAAATTCCTTTCTGTTCCCAGATTCATCTGCTTCCTTGAGGGTCAACTGTTCTCTTATGTACTGAGGGTTTGTCATGATCCTTGGTGGTTCATCTTTTTAATGAAGGACTGGGTTGATTAACTTACACGGACGGCATGGGTGGCCTTTGCTGTTTCCAGTCTATCCCCTGAACGAGAGGGACAACTGCAAGCTCGGATTTATTCTGACTTGGCAGACTTGTGGGAGAGCCCCACTCTGGGGCGTCTACCCTTACTCTTGAAGCTGTAGCCCTCCTCTGTAGGCTGCCGTATTTCTTCAGAGGTATTTGTATGCCTAGAGCAAATGCCTCTGCTGTCTTGTGTATACTAGTGGTGGTGGTGGGGGGGAGGAGTGATGTGGAAACAACCTAGGAAACTGCAAAAGCTTAACCAATTAGTGCCATTTCTCCCTTCTTTTTATTCCTTCTCTCTATCCCAGCCAGTTCTAGAAAGGCTCCATTGTAAAAACGGGCACCATTTCCTCTGCAGGCCTCCCCCGGGCACACCTCGTCTGCTTTGCCCTTTCTGTTCACGTGATCCCGTCTGCCTTCCAGAACTTCATCACAATCTTTGGTGCCCTGGGTCTTCCCCTCCTCCCATTCTCAGCTGAATGTTCTATAGCAGTGGTCCCCAACCTTTTTGGCACCAGGGACCCATGTTCCTATGAGAATCTAATGCCTGAGGATCTGAGGTGGAGCTGAGGCGGTGATGCTAGCGCTGGGGAGCAGCTGCAGATAGAGATGAAGCTTGGCTCTCTCACCCGCCGCTCACCTCCTGCTGTGTGGCTCGGTTCCCAACTCGCTGCGGACTGGTACTGGTCTGCAGCCCAGGGTTTGGAGACCCCTGTTCTACAGGATTTTAGAAGAGATGAATATAGGCTCAGGCACATTTTACCATCCATTCTGTCTTGCCCTCTACTGTGCTCTCACAGTGCACTGTCTGCAAAAATCCCCATTAGCCAGAGTGGCTTACTTTCTATAATTTATATCTGTAATAATAACTATATTTAACATACTTTACAAGGACCCACCTCTTTGTCCCCAAATAAAGTCTGCTCTGTTTTTTCGTTATATTAAATGTGATATGCAATTTTTTCCCCTGGAATTCCACCTATCATTGTATGTACACTAAAGCCAACATAATGGATTGTTTTCAGATAAGGTGTTTTCTACTAAATCTCCACCAAAAAGAAATCCTTCAGGGCAGTTGCTTGAAGTCATAGGAAACAGTACCCTCTAGAGAGCAATGTCTGCATCTTCACTTTAGCAAAGAAAAAGAAAAAAAAAGAAAAAAAGAAAGAAAGAAAGAAAGAAAATCTCTAGGACAAAGGTTTCCTTGACCTGGCTGCAAACTGCCATTAACTGTGACACTTCAGAAATAAGACCTACTCCAGGCAAATTCACACCCCATCTCCTTGCGCAGGGCTCAAGCATCTGTGAAGGCACAGAGTGGATTGAGAACCAACACTGGGATGTACAGACCAAAACTGTCTTCACTGGCTAAGCAAGTCTCTAGGGTCCAAAGTCACCTAAAAAATGCAAGTGTTACGAATATAAACAATGTATGTTTTCTAAGCTAGACTGAACTCAAGGGAATCAGTAGAGATTCAGAGCTCCGTCAAGCCTCAGTGCTTCCCCGGTTTTACTGGGGAAGGCAACAGCCATGGTTCAGCCCGGTTTGGGGCAGTTGTATGGGGTGTGGCCCGCAGGCCCTCAGCGTGCCTTTCAACAGTGGTCAAGCCGTGCTGCCCACTGCAGTGCTGCCCTGACTTGGACTTGATTCTGGTTCCTCGAGTGACACCCAGGAAACTGGCTATGCCCCCTTCTGGCCAACTCTCCTACACAAAATCTCCAGCCTCCATTTTCTGATTTAAATTATGCTTTTAAAATCCCTTCTACCAGTAGAGACTTATCTAGGGAGCATATTAGATGTCTGGTATTAAAAGACAGTTCCTGTATGCAACTCTGAAAAGGATTATTTTTAAAAAACAGAACAAGGAGTGAAATCTCAATTAGCTAGTAGTCTAGATTGTGACAGTTTTTAAACACATTTTTCCTAAAAGCAGTTTTCTTTTCCTGTCGCCATCTCTCAATCCTCAATGCGGTCTCTGCAATTCTACGCCTCGCTGCCAGGATTCTACTGCAAGGGCATTTTGTCATCAAAAGCCAGCCAGCATTTCAGCTAAAACAGAACCAATCTCAAAAACAAAGTTGGTCTTCCTTTTCCTTTAGGTATTCAAAAAATTAAAGACTTTGTATTCCAAGATCCTAATTCCTGAGGCAGCAAGGGATGGAGTTATCAGCACTCTAAGGGAAAATTTAGGGAGCACAGTAGATGATCTAAAGTGATGTATCACATGGGGACTCTGTCATGACAGAGTTGGAAAAGCTTATGACCACACGATGCCACAAGACTCATTCAAACTGGTAGAAAGTCAATTTTTTTTCTGACTTCTGCATTGTTTTCAACAGAGGCTTGCTTGGCACCTTACCAAAGCGGTTTTTGCTATTTAAGCTTTTGATATCAAAACCATGAAATTTAACAAATAAAACAAACTCACCTTTTCTACTGCTTTTTCATTAATTAATGGGCCTTGAGTAGTTCTCTCCTCAAATCCGTTACCCACATGCAGGTTTGTTTTAATTGCCTCAGCAAATTTTTTCACAAAGGAATCATGGATACTCCTTTGCACCAAGAAACGGTTTGAGCAAACACAAGTCTAGACAGAAAAAACAAACTCTGGTAGACAGTTTGTCAGAAGTTATTGACACAACCAATAAATGTATGACTGCTGCTTTCTCTCTGAGTGTGAAAACACTGTCCCAGGTCACCACATCAGGGTGTCCAACCTACTATTTTCCTCCCCAGGTGGGCTTGGCCTTAGAGATAAGTGCACTGAATAAGTGCACATTCCTCTCCACACCTCTGTGGTTAAACATGTATGCAAGGATAAATATCTGTGCACACACACAAAAGAAAAAAGAAAGAAAAAAGAAAAAGAAAAAAACTCAATTAACCCAAGTTTTTTCAAACAGCTTGAATAAGTCATTATGAAACAAACAGCGGGGGAAAAACACAAAACACTAACCCTGAGAGGCAGTGATGCTCCACAGACAAGGGCAGAGACTACAAGAATACGGTCAAAGGCTAGCACACATCCTTTAGCTCACACCTTCCAAGTTCTGCTGAGTCTGACATTTTGTAAATGGATACAAAATCATTCTTCCATGTCAGCCTAAATTATTGAAAGGACCCTTATTATTTTCTAATTAGACCTAATATTTTTAAATTATAAGATATAACCATGTTATAGGAAATAGTTTTTACTGATAAACTTTCTTCTTTTTTCTTAATCATGTATTTCTCCAGTGTAAACAATTCTATAGATAATTTTGTGTCCTGTGCATTTTATTAGCTAAAAGCAACATATCCCAAGGTTGTACCTTTATAGTGTAACTTTGAAGGTTTATACACATGGACATTTTTGTGTTTTTAAAAGGAAACATCCTATTCTGAAACAACCAAGCTTATTTAGGAAAAACTAACTACCAAAGGCCAAAACAAGGATTAAAACTAATATATAATATACATTTCACCCTTTTTTCAAACTCTAACCTTTTAGGAGTTATTGTTTCTGGAATGCATTTAAAACCGCTTATTGATGGTACTTTAAGACAAAGTACTTAAGAACGTTTTGTAAGACACCAGGATCCTAGCAACAGCTTGGACAGAACTGGAGAGACAGGACCCTAGGCTCATAGTACAAACTCCTAGCAGAGGTGGGACTACAACCCAAGGATGCAGTCGGATTAAGTCGGTTAATCTTTCTCATCTGTACGATGCAAAGTTTGCATCAGATAACTTGGAAGGTCCTTGCTTGATCTAACATTCCAGGATTTCCTGTGAAGGTGTGAATGAGCTCTCCCAGTGACAACCTGGACACCCATGGGCACACTGCTGGTCCCTAGGCGTGCGCCCTGCTGTAGGTGCCTATCATGGCCCCTCCATCACAGGAAGCATAAGACCCAGGCCCCAGGGTTTTGAGTTTTTCAAGGTATCATCTCAACATTTTCCTATCCTCTGTTCCTTAAGACTGTGGGCCTCGCAACCTAGCTATGGAGATTGTTTTGTGTCTGAGGAGATAATTATACTTGTTTAGTACAAAAAAAGCCTGAGGGAAAATTGTGGACAAAACTAGAGTCAAAGAGGAAAGGGGAACAATTTAAAAGGAAAAAAAAGAGAGAACAATTTAATTAAAAGACATCTGCTATTCAAGAAATTCTCTGAAGAGAAGGACTCTATCTTATTTCTCTTGGGATCCTCCAAGCCTAGCATCATCCCTGTCAAAAAGAGAGCACTTACTGAGTATTTGCTGAAAAGTGAAAAAAGAATGGACTATGGAAGGGACCCAAAGTTTCCTTCGAAGAGATGAGCAAGAGAGTAGGATCTTTGTAAAAACAGACACACATAAACCCTGGAAAACACTACATCACTCACCTGTCCAGAGTTCCTAAATTTAGATGCCATGGCCCCTGCCACAGCCTGGTCTACGTTGGCACTATCGAATACAATGAATGGGGCATGGCCACCCAGCTCCATGGAGACTCTTTTCACAGAGTTGGCTGCATGGTGCAACAGTATCTGTAAGCAGAAAAGAAAATGCTGTGAGCAATCAACTACCTGAACCAGTAAGCCTTTGTTTAAAAAAATTACCCAACAGTGAAAAAAGCCAGGTGTACAATAGTATATATGGGATGATATTTTGCATAATAAAAGGGGAAGTAAGAATATATATTCATATTTGCTTGTATTTGGCAAAGAAACACGGAGAAGATAACAAGAAAATAAAAAGTAATTATAGAAGGGAAAGGGAGTAGAGACAGAGGTGAAGGTGAGACTTCTGTGTAAACATATTTATATTGTCTTGATTTTTGAACCATGTAAGTATATTACCTATTCAAAAAAATTATATGATAGGTTTAAAATCATAATATAGAGGTAAGTTAATAAAATCATACAGAATTCCAGAACCCACAGCTTACCACTGATAACATTGTAAGGTATATTCATCTAGAATGTGGCCACACAGGTTCATGTATGTGTACTTTTTTTTTTTTTTTTAAAGAAAATAGGACAGTAGGGTTATATAGCATTATAACCTGCTTTATCTTCCCAATTAACCATATATCTGGAACACCTTCACATGTTCACAACACTTTATACCCTGCTCCTTTGATGAGATGCTATAACGTGAAAAATTCTCATATCGACATATGTATTTCTAGAACCTTCCTTTACATGCCTGCATAGTATTCCACTGCATGGATGTTCTGTAATTTATTCATTTAGCCTACATCTGTTGGAAATTTAGGTTGTTTCCAATTCCTTGCTATTAAAAATAACACTGCGATTGTTCCCTTATAATAAATATAAGAAGAATCACTCAATGCACAATTGAAAGGCTTTCTGATGCATATGACTATTAGGCTTTAAATATCCAGTAAGAGATTTTTATGGCCTAGGAAAGCTTCCTGGGGACATTAACTGTTTTATTACAGATAGGAGGTCTCTGTCCAGTCACAGCTCCAGGATTGATGGAACCACTTGGCCTGTTCAGTAAGAGAGAGTAGTCGCAGCCCAAGGTCCCTCTAGGAACAGCCCCTAGCGATGCGCACCCTGAGGTGGGTTTTGTGACAGAATGACTGGAAAAATGCTTCTGTGCCAGTGCTGCTCTACATGCCCAGATGCTCATATTCCAGCAATAATAATAATAATTATTATTATTAAATTTTTTTACTATGGTGACACTGGTTAACGAAATCCATTAAATTTCAATGTACAATTCAACAGTAAAGTATATATGTACTGCATTGTGTGTTCCCCTCCCATAGTTAGATTTCTTTCTGTCACCACATAATTGATCCTTTTACCCCCCTCCCCTTCTCCCCTCCTTCCCTCTGGTAACCACTAGTCTATTGTCCATGAGTCTCTGTCCTGTTTGTTTGTTGCTTTAGGTTTACAGCCCATATGTAAATTAAATCATGTGATTTTCAACTTTTTCTTTCTTGCTTATTTCCCTTAGCATGATCATCTTGAGGTCCATCCATGTTGTTGCAAATGGCAGTATTTCATCTCTTCTTATGTACCACAGCTTCTTTAGCCAATCATCTATTGTAGGACACTTTGGTTGCTTCCATGTCCTGGCCACTGTGAATAATGCTGCTATGAACATCGGTGTGCAAATCTCTTTATGGATATGAGTTTTCAAGTCTTTGGGGTAAATACCCAGTAACAAGTTTGCTGGATCATATGGTAGATCAATTCTTAGTTTTTTGAGGAAACTCTATACTGTTTTCCATAGTGGCTGTACCAATTTGCAGTCCCACCAGCAGTGTATGAG